CTAAACCCCCGCCGGTCTTCCGGTCTAGTCGGGCATTGTCCCGCTACTTCGGGCACGGCAACGTTTGGGATCGAACACCCCCCGGCAAGCTGGGTACCGGACGGCATTCTATTTAGGAGCATCGGTCCGGCCTTCACCACGACACGGCATCGTCTAGAACCCCCGTCTAGACGGCATCCGAACTTCGGCCGGATATCATCTAGAACCCCCGCCTAGACGGAACTATCATGACCATGCGCACACATCATTCACTCAATGCCAATTCTTATCTTTGCGATTAGCCAAAGTGGAGTATTTATGACGTGCAAATCTCTACGAACGAACGTGTCATGAATCGCACTCGTTTCAATATCAAACATCATTAACTAATTGCAATTAGCCATTGAATCACATGATTAGCCATGATTAACCACACAATCTACCATCAAGCCACATGATTAACATCGAACCATATGATTTACCATCGAACAACCATGATCAGCCATCAATCACCATGATTAACCACAACTAAGCAAGATCAACAAATCCTAGCCACATGATGAACTATTAGCACATGATCAACCAATCTAAGCCACACGATTAACTATGATCACATGATCAACCAATCCAAACCACATGATCAACTATTGAACCACATGATTAATAATAAAAAAACATGATCAGCCATGATCAATTTATTCTAGCCACATGATTGTTTATTAGCACATGATCAACCAATCTAAGCCACACGATTGCCCTAAACATATGATCAGCCACATAAGCCACATGATTAACATTAAGCCACATGATTAACCCAAATTAGCCATACACTAATCAGCCCTAGATCAGCCCACAATTAGCCCGTAATTAATCACTATTTAGCCCCTAAACTAGCACATTAGTCACCCATCAACCTAATCAAGATTTAGGAAATTACTTACCACTAAACTAAGCTAGCTTAAGCCAACAAAGGGCAGCAACCAGCGGAGGCACAAGCGGCGGACGTGGCGACGGTGGTTGGTCACGGCGTGAACAGCGGCTAGAGGTGGTGGTCTACGTGTGGTGGTGCTGGTGGTGGCGTGAGGGTGGTGGCTGGTCGGTGATGGTGGTGGACGGTGGGCTTGGCCGAACAAGAGGGAGAGTGATAGAGAGAGTGAATGAGTGAAAATGGTTGATCTGGAAATAATGGAAGAGAGAGAGAATGGGCTAGTAACTCTATCCAAAATTAAGGGCCAGGGTCACTCCTTGGTTTCCAAGTCAAATCCCAAGGCCACAATTTAATCTTCAAAGACAAGCCAAGCAAGGGCAAACAAGAAAATAATAAAAGACAAGAGGGGAAATTCTGTCCTATACTGGTCGGCCATATTAGGGAGGGCACAAAGGACCAAAATGCCCTTCCACACAACAAAGAGATCATAAAACACTTAGGGGTAAAAGGGTTTTTTCCAATTTTCGGTCCGAATTTCACTTTTCCAAGAATTTCCAAGCGAACCGATAACTAGGTGAGCTTAATGAGGTGACGTTCAATAGATTAGTCTTGATATCCTTGAAAGTTCAATACCCAAGTTCGGATTCTAATTCATGGCAAAAATCGATCAATTGCGACTTTAGTGTATCTCAAACTAACGAGCGGCTTTTAGGAGTTTCGCGTATTCGACCCATGGTTGATTCGATATCAAGCCACGTTTAAATTTACTCAAGCCGTGGTGATTTTCGATTGTCATGTAATTGAGAAAGTAAATCACTAGTTTCGAATGATACGATCATCAGGGATTGGTCTAGGATCGTTTGAAATCCATACAATGGTCAAATAGAATCACCCGTGATCTAATTGTATAATATTGGTAAATCGTTCCATAAACATCTCTTGATCGGTCTATAATGGCCCAAAATTGTCCCTCGTCAATCCTTATGATCGAAGTGTCAAACTATAGTCGAGTCCTTAGGTCGTGCGTACTTAATTCATAATTAGCTTTTCCCTAACTGTTAGTCTTCTCATGAGTGATCAATTCTAAGAGAGATTTAACTAAAAGTGCATCGATGAAATATTCATTTCATAAATCCCGAAAATGAGTCGAATTTTAGAATATCACATTTACTTTTAAAACTATCAAGTACATACATAAGTACCACTTTGCACCTCACATCAATTATTCTTCTGTCCCTATGTACGAAAATCTCATTTGCTTTTCAAAAATGTCCATTCCGAAAATCATAAATGCTCAGATCCACCCCAAACACTAAAACCAATTGGAAACTAAGTGAGATGTTAAAATGGATTTGTGAGAAGAGGCAATTTGGTCTTTTCGACACGGGGCTTTGCCTAAAGATAAGTAAATGGTATTCGCAAAAGTAAAGGTACGGAGTGGCGAATAAGTTAAAAATGGGATGCTTTCGGTTTTTTTTCAAAGACATAAATACGCAATGTTCATCAGTCCGACCGCAAGTTTATACGTTGGACATCATCAAATCGCAAAAGAGATTTATGACACAGTGGATTTGGACCATCGAATACTTTAAGATCCACTCACCTCTCATCCTAAGTCCTCAATGGAGGAAAAAGAGCACCCCAAAAGAGAAAAACGGAAAGAAATATTTTAGTTTCAAAGATGTCATTTCTCATCACTTTCGCATGTTCCCCACTCGAGGACTTTGCATTGCATAGGTTAAACTCCATTGACTTGACTCAAAGGCTTAACTTCTAAGAAGGGTTCATTTGATTTTTTTCGTGTGAATGGTATTTACGAAAGTAAAGAGAAGTCAGTCATTATTGGTAGAATTAAATACTTTTTTCAGATTTTTCAGAAACATAAATACATATGTGGTCTTCGGTCCAATCGTGAATTCACATGCTTGGCATCATTAAAACGTAAAAAGAGACATTGACATCAGGGATTTGGACCATTAAACGCTTCAAGGTCCACCAACCTCTTTATCCCCACGTCCTAAATGGAGACAAAAGAAAAAGAACTTCCAAAAAAGAAAAGGGAAAGAAATACTTTTTAGTTCCAAAGATGCCTTTTCCTAATAGCTTTCACATGTTCCCCACTGGACCCATTAATTGCATTTGCAGAGGTTTTACTCCATTTGACTTTACTCTAAGGCTTCATTTACGGTGACCAGTCTTCCTCTGAACAACATACTGAAAAAGGTTGGTTTTTTTAATCTGTAAAATACTATTAAAAAAGGAAATAAATTTAAAATTACGATTAATACCACGAAAAATCTCAAATCGGTACACCTATGACAAATTTACCTCAAACTAATTTTTTTACCATAAAAAAACCCCCCAAACGGCATATGTATGACAAATTTACCTCATACTAATTTTTTTACAACAAAAAATTCAAAATAAATACATTTATGATAAATTTACTAACTATTAGTTTCTGTTAAACTGGATTAATACTACAAAAAATTACAAACTGCAAACGGAGGGTAAAACCTCAAATCAGTACTCCTGTCGACTGTAACGCATCATTCAGTAAAATTTAACGAAAATTAATGGATGATAAATTTTTTACAGAAGTATTAATTTGAGATTTTAGATAAATTTATTATAAATGTATCAATTTAAGGTTTTCACGGTATTAACCCTAAAGGGTGCATAAATAGCCAAAGAAAAGGAGGATGGTCCAAGTGGAGTTCCGGTCAGGCGAGGGCCACGGTGGTACGGTTAGTAGCCACGAGGTGGCACCCACCACATGGATCAACAGCTACCCTTCGTCGTGGAAATTGCTGATCAAGATTCAACACCTTGACTTTAACCTACTAATTTTCTTTTTTCTCTTTAGAATTTTCAACAACTACCCTTTATTTAACTCTTTCATTCTATTCTATTTTATTACGTTCTTGGATTTCGAGTACGGCCCCCGATCAATGATAATCCCGCAATTCTCAAATTTTTTTTGGGAAAATTCCAATTTGGGGTCCAAAATGGGGCCATTTTCTCAAAATGGAGTCCCAAGTGGACTTAGTGCCAAATTGGTACCCAAAGTCCCAAAAAGTGTCAAATAAGGGTCTCGGTCGCCGGCCGGCCAAAATACCTGCCGGCCGGCGATCCCGCGACTGTTCCGGTGAACGGAACAGTGTTTTTAATTTTTTTTTTCCTTTTTTCTGCTTTTTTCTTTTCCTTTTCCTTTTTTTTTTTCTCCTTTTCCTCCGCCGGCCATTGCCGGGGCCGGCGGAGGTTGCTAGCCTCAGGCTGAGGCGGCCCTGGCCGGCGAGGGCGACCCAGGGTCGGGCGAGGGCCGCCTTCACCGGCGTTGGGCGAGGACCGCCTCGCCCGGGCCGGGCGGGCGAGGGCGACCGTCGCGCAGATCCGGCAAGAGCTCGCTCGACCCTGGGTCGCCCTCGTCGACGTCGGGCGAGGGCCGCCCTCGCCTGGGCTGGGCCGGCGAGGGCGGCCCTTGCTGGGGCCGGGCAGCGAGGGCGACCCTCGCGGATCCGGCGAAGGATGCTCTTCTTGGATGCGGCGAGGGTCGCCTCGCCCGCCCACCCAGGGCGAGGGCGGCCTCGCTCGGCGCCGGCGAGGGCGGCCTCGCCCGGCCCCTGGGTCGCCCTCGCCGGCCAGGGCCGCCTCCGCCTGAGGCCAGTGACCTCCGCCGGCCCCGACAATGGCCGGCGGAGGGAAAGGAGAAAAAAAAAAGAGGAAAAGGAAAAGAAAAAAACAGAAAAAAGGAAAAAAAAATATAAAAATACTGTTCCGTCACGGAATAGCCATGGATCGCCACCGACGGTATTTTGCTACGGCGATCCGCACTTTATTCGATACTTTTTGGGGACTTTGGGTACCAATTTAGTACTAAATCTACTCAGGACCTCAATTTGAGAAAATGGCCCCACTTTGGATCCCAAATTGGAATTTTCCCAATGTTTTTTTTATCAACCCCTTCTGAATTTCCGTATCCACTTGTGGAGTATGGAAATGGGGAGATTACAGATCAGCCGTTACTCCGGTATTCACGCGCCTATTTCCGAGTCTTTCGCTCCCACCATCTCTCTCTCTCTGTCTCAATTATATATGTTGATGATTGCACGGAGAGAACTCTCATCTGAGGCTCCCGTTCTATCTCTCTCTGTCTCTCCGTCTCTCTCCGAAGCTTTTCGGGTTCGTTCTTGAAGAAGAAGGAGAAGAAGAAGAAGAAGAAGAAGATGTCTCTGCTCTCCGATCTTCTGAACCTCAACCTCTCGGACACCACCGACAAGATAATCGCCGAGTACATATGGTACGTCCCCTCGGATCCGAGCCGGGATCTTCCTCGTGATTCTTTTCGCGTACCCTTCTGGCGTTAACTGCTGAATCTTCCGTTTCTAGACGTTCTTTGCCTGAATCTTTTTTTCTTTTTTTTTCTCTTTTGGACCAGGATCGGTGGATCGGGTATGGACTTGAGAAGCAAAGGGAGGGTATGACGATCTCTTTCCTCGGCCTTTAAGGAAAAAAAAATCGATTGTTAGTTCGCATGATGATGTTTCCTTTTATACTGGATCTTGACTTGGGTTTCTGGGAAATTTTCTTGGTGGTGTAGACTCTTAATGGACCGGTGAGCGATCCGGCAAAGCTTCCGAAGTGGAACTACGATGGATCGAGCACTGGCCAGGCTCCCGGCGAAGACAGTGAAGTCATATTATAGTATGTGCTCTCTCTCTCTCTCTCTCTGTATGTTTTCTTTTCTTTCATTTCTACTATTTGTAATGTGTTTTCTGGGGTATTGATGAGTGAAATGGCCTATTTTGGTGTCTTGTGATAGTCCCCAAGCAATTTTCAAGGACCCATTTAGGAGGGGCAACAATATTTTGGTGAGCGAATCTTGGGAATCTATAACGATTGTAAAGCTAGCATAGAACCCCTTTCTTTGTTCTTCCCCTTTAAAATATTTCCATATTTGAAGGTCATGTGCGATGCTTATACTCCTGCTGGAGAGCCCATCCCCACGAACAAGAGATTCGATGCTGCCAAGATCTTCAGCCAGCCAGATGTTGTTGCTGAGGAGCCTTGGTACAATGCCCAGATTTTCTCATCGTAATCACGTTTTAGTCCTCTAATTTTAACACAAGTCACAGATACTAAGGAGAACTGGGGGTGAAAAACAGGTATGGGATCGAGCAGGAGTACACCTTGTTGCAGAAGAATGTGAAGTGGCCGCTCGGCTGGCCGGTGGGAGGCTACCCTGGACCTCAGGTGATTAACTTAGAACCACGCCCTCTTCCATTAATATAGCCTTGTTATACTTGTTATCTTTGTCGTCCTCGTATGTGATTAGGGCTTGATCAAGTATGTTTAGTCTAACTTTAGTTGCTTGGATCTGTCTTAGCTGCAATTGAATCCTTGCTCTAGCAACTTTGGCTCTAGTTGAACACATTTGTTTTGGCTTTGTGGATTTGATAGGGACCGTACTACTGCGGTGTTGGAGCCGACAAGGCACTGGGTAGGGACATCGTGAACTCTCACTACAAAGCTTGTCTCTATGCTGGGATCAACATCAGCGGCATCAATGGCGAAGTCATGCCCGGCCAGGTACACTTAACCTCGAGACCTTCAAAAAAAATGAGAGAAAAAAAGAAGAATTTGTCCCGTTTCTTTCCTGTGTTCTTGAAATCCCCAAAAATTTGTTGCTTCTGAACAATTTATCGTAACTGTAAATCTCATCCCTCATTCATAAATCTTATGATAGTGGGAATTCCAAGTTGGCCCTGCTGTTGGCATCTCTGCCGGAGATGAACTGTGGGTGGCTCGCTACATCTTGGAGGTACTTAAAAAATAGCCATTAATTAATTAATTAATTAATTTTTGCAGTTTACCACTTTTTTTTCTTCCATTGTTCTTGATAAAGTTGAAGTAACTTGTGATTTTACTTTCTTCTTTCCTTATTGACAGAGGATCACAGAAATTGCTGATGTTGTCCTCTCCTTTGACCCCAAGCCCATTCAGGTTGACCCAAATTTCCTAAGATGTTGTTCACATGCTTCATTGTAACATTTGTCTCTAGATATTGACTTTGTAAATTACATTTTTTTTTTCAATTAGGGTGACTGGAATGGTGCTGGTGCCCACACAAACTACAGGTAAATTTGCACAAGAACGTTGAATAGTATGAATTCCTTTATTGACTTTGTGCAAGAGAATTGCTTCTTTAGAAGAGATTATCAAAGGAATTGGTATGTGTAGACTGTAGAGGGTATAGAGCTTAAGGCTTCTAATTTGAATTTGACCGCCGTTGTTTTTTACAGTACCAAGTCGATGAGGAACGAGGGAGGATATGAGATTATCAAGCAGGCGATTGAGAAGCTCGGAGTGAGGCACAAGGAGCACATTGCTGCTTATGGAGAAGGCAATGAGCGCCGCCTCACTGGACGACACGAAACAGCCGACATCAACACCTTCTTATGGGTAATTAAACCTTCATTTTGCATTCAAAATACTATGCTTTACCAATAGAACAGAGAATGTAGTAATCTTTTCTACCATGTTCACGAATCAATGTACATGCTAGAATAAGTCATATAGGCAGTGAACCCTTCCGATCATTCGACATCCGTCAAGTGGCCAAAATTTGATGAACCATCTGATACGTACCATTTAAATCTAATGCTAAAAAATGGTAGCCGATGCGACATTTTAAAATCCCAAAGGGTTTGGCTGAGTGATAAGGTTGAGAGTTTGATGCAGTTACGTGCATCGGTGCAAGCTAGCCATGACTAAAATTCGTGCACCGAGCTAATCTCGAAAATGGGTGTCTTATTACCAGGGAGTGGCGAACCGTGGAGCGTCGATTAGGGTTGGGAGAGACACGGAGAGAGAAGGCAAGGGCTACTTTGAGGACAGAAGGCCAGCCTCCAACATGGACCCTTATGTGGTGACCTCCATGATTGCGGAGACCACCCTCCTCTGGAAACCATGAAAGACCAGAGACGATTGAGAAGAGAGGAAGAAGCCAACAGCCACCGACTTGATGTTCTCCTAAATCATCGCAATCAAAACAAGAACATCCGTTGGGTTCTCTCTGTTTTTATGTCCTTGTGGGGGAGTGTTGAGAACAAGAAAAATTGTACCTCGTTCTGTTTCCTTTCTTCTTCAAGATTTGGTTGTCTTATGCTAGGGTTAAAGTCTGGGGTAAAGTCAAGATCATGCATATTGCGGTGGTGTCTTCGGACGTCCAGCCATTGTTACGTACCGTTTGCATTTATCTTTATGATGAATAAAGTCGACGACTACATCGACAACTTAGCGTTCTCTTTTGCTTATAAGATGTTTTTGTGTTGGGAAGATGAGTCCCTCTCCTTTATTATATTGGTCGTAATTTATGAAGCTTTGAAAAGGGTATGCAAATTGGAAGACGCATTCATGTGATGGAATGGAAAGATAAGTGGAGTCCCGCGTTCGAGTTAGGGAACATGAGTAATTATCGTTATTAAATATACGTGTTTCGTCCATTGACGAACGCCACCACCAGACACGCCACGATGAACCAGATCTTGGAATTTTGCCTCGACGGCAGCCTCCTGCCGTGTAGCTTGTATGGCAGCCACAACAGCACCGACAGCCACGTCATCGTCGGCTTGTATGGCAGCCACGTCAACGTCAGCCAACGATCAACGTTACGTGTAACAGAAGTTCGAAATGATTGAAGTAATGGAGATAAAATGGAAACAAAAGAAAGTCCGAATGGTTAAAGATGGCGAACGCTTGGCCAAGATAAAGATCCACACAACCATCCACAAAAAATGGTTTCATCCTATTCCACAAAAAACGCCAATATTCTGTTGGCGTTTGTTCACCCAAGAAGAACTTACAAAGATTTCTAGATTTAGTCACTTAAAAAAGATAATTTCGAAAAAGAAAAAGTTGGGATTATATCATCGATTCTAAGGTGAGAATTAGGTCAAGCATCTAGATCTTTGAATCGGTCATTGGAAGATATGGTGCCGTAGTCTTTGGAGCTACTCTTCCACAAATCTTTTCATCTTTGCAGCCACACATTCACCAACCCCACACATGCACTGATAAGTCAATTACATTACTCGATCCCACAATTGAAATCTTTGAGCCCACCAGTTCAGATATAGCTGGGAGAGAATCCCATCGTCTAGGGTTTCTTCAGTTCGATTCTTAGTCAAGTGAAAACTTCAAATAAATAAAAAGAGCATAGGTTTGTCTATGTATTCTGTCCATCTGCATCTCAAGGTAGATATGTGAAGTATATAGCATAGGAACTTGAATAAGAAAAAATTAAGAGAAATAGAAGAAATGTCTCCATCTCCAACCACAACCACCTAATCCTATGAAAGGCAACACATGCATCTGAGGTTATCGGATGTTAACTCGGACATGTGAACTGAATCATTCGTTCCAAATTTTAAACCTTATTTGGTTTACTTTGAAATTGGATTATTTAAGGAATGAGAATCCTATTAGTCAACAATCGTACTCTAGATTTGTTATCATCTCTCTTATATCATTGGTCAATAGATTTATTCTATGAAAATGCCTAGATAAAATAACTAACTAAAGATAATATTAAATCCACATGTGTGAGCCTCGTGTGAGCGTTGCCTTGGGAGCTATATTCTCATCTTCCTTATATAATTAGCGCGCTTCGTAAACTATACTCGAGATTTACTTACGATTATGTATCAATGTGAGGTCTTGCAAGAGAGTCGCGAGCAAGAACGCGACATCAACACGACACGATCCATGTGATTGACTGCTCGATACATTTTGAATTGAGTAAATGCACCCAAAGAAACTGATCATCTAGAATCATATATTTCGTCGATCACTAATGACAGCCATTTTCTTGTACAAGCTAGTCATTTCAAAAGCATTGTTCTTGTTATGATAAAAGGGGAAATTATCCAACCGGTCCTAAATCTATTGTGCGGATGTCAATTCGGTCCTAAACTTTTAAATTTTGACAACTTAGTCTTCAACCTTTGCGTGAAATTCCAATTTAGTTATTCCGATCAATTTTCGTCTGACAATTGCTGAGGTGGTGATCCAATCATCGATGGCCGTCCTTTGGGCACACCGTCACGTCAGCGATTTCTAATAAAAATTTATAGGAAGGATTACTTTGGAATTCGCGCAAAGATTGAGAATGAATTGGCAAAATTGAAAAGGTTAGGAATGAATTGACTTCTGTACGATAAGTTTATGATCGATTAGATAATTTCCTTGACAAACTACAAAGTAAACAACCAATGAAAATTCTCAAGTAATTCATGCTCATACAAGCCCCAGAATCAGCACATTTGGTCAGGGTATCGAGAGTTTTTCTACTTATAAACTAAAGGTCACCCGTTCAAATCTCACCAATTGCGTACAAATTATTATGAGTCAAGAGTATCTGCATAGATCGAAGGTCTGAACTAAACGGGTATTCTCCAAGCCTCCGTACCCATGACCCTAAATTATCAAAAGAATTATACTTGTACGGCATATCATGACTAAGCTCCATTCTTTTCTTTTACTTGGCCAAATATCGTGATTAAGTCAACTATTCATAGTTTACGCTACATTATATTCAATTCGGATCTATGTCATGGCAGGTAATAGGTACTATCGCGATACCGATACCTTTACATTTCATAAACCATGTTCAATGTCTCTTTTCTTTTCCTCCTCTCATTATTTATAGAACGCCTCGACCTACCTACCTACGTTATAATGTCAAATTATTATGTACGACCTCCAATGATTGAGATCATGGAAAATTGGTGAAAAGGATCATTGGCCTCGACGTACCAATGCAGCAACGAGGGGTCTATCATTAGTTAACTTAGGTCTATTTCATGTTTAATTTTGGGTGAATTACTACACTTGACTACTATTTTGGCTTTTGATTATGGTCCACGTCAGAGAACGCTTATCTTGTAGGCTACTACCTAAAAGATAAAATAAAAGTGTAGAAAAAGCAATGAGGACAACCTAATTTACAACGCAAAGCAGTCCATTATGTCACGCAGAGGAATCATTTAGTCATGGCTGCGAAAGGAAAAAGGGTACGTAGATGCGTAATTCAGTTCCTTTTTATATACACGAGAAATGAATATACTGTTTCTAGTTATAATTTTCTGAATCTATTAATAAAATGTTCTTCTCCAGGATTTGTTGTGGATCTACTTGGCCTGAGCCTCGGTCTTTGCAGAAATGACTTAGGATCGGTGGTAGGATCTTGGATTACTCTTGTCCAACTATGATGATGTTTTAGGGAGTTTTGGCTCGGTGGGCTTGGAGCGGAGCTTGTTAAGATGATTCGGCCTATTCCCTCGCTTTTTCTAGTGCGCTTGGTGTTGCCTCGTGTCCTCCTGACACGCGGCAACTCTTATATTGACCCATGTACCCCTTCAACCGAGCCGGAGGCAGCGGCTGCGAGGGGACATCGGCCCCTCGCCAATGCGTGTGGACAGCAGCAGCTCTCCCGCTGCCTCAGCCACACTACCCCAATCCCCTTCACTCTATTCGATTTTTCTTTTCAAATTTTTACTTTCTAATTATATTGAAACGTTTTTATATTTCTAATTACCTCGGATATAATCCATGTATGGTGACACGTCAACATTTAACAGCCAAGTAAACATCTTTTTATTATCTTTTTTTTAACGGAAAGACCAAATAGGTTAGCGACCTAATTGGACCAAAAAACGTTAGAGGGTCTTAATTGAATATTTACAATAATTTAAGAACCTCTAGAAGCTTTATTCCAAAGAAATTGTTCAACATTAAGCCCGTCTCATTATGTAAAAAAGGGAAAAAGACACAAACAATCCATGAACGTTGGCTCAATGTGCCATTTAGTTCATAAACTTTTAATTTGTTCAATGTAGTTCCTGAACTTTATTATAATATTTGATGTGGTCCCTAGATTTTTAATTTGTTCAATGCCGTCCTTGAACTTTTGGTACTTGTTTAATTCAGTTCTTGAACTATATGAAAATATTTAATGTAGTCCTTTCATTAATTGAAGTTCATGGACTATATTGAATATTTTCATATAGTTCAGGGACTAAATTGAACATGTACCAAAAGTCTAGGGACCACATTGAACAAATTAAAAGTTTAGGGACCACATTAAATATTAGGCTAAAGTTCAGGGACTACATTGAATAAATTAAAAATTTATGGATCAAATTGCACATTGGGCTAAAGTTCAGTGACTGTTTGTGGGGAAAATTGTCCAAAAAGTCCTAAACTTATTGCACTTTTGCCAATTTAGTCCTAAACTTTTTAAGTTTGCCAATTCAGTCTTAAATTTTTTCACTTCTTGCCAATTGAGTCCATCCGGCCAATTTTTGCTGGCCGTCTGACCAACGCTGACGTGGCATTTTTAAATATTTTTTTTCAAAATTTTTAATTTTTTTTTCTGCCTTCTTCCCTCTGGCTGGTTCAGCAACCGGCGACCGGCCAGAGGCGCGAGCCGGCAAGGTCGATCTCATTGGCCTCTGGCGAAGCTCGCCCCCGTCGGCCACTGGCGAGGGTGAGCCTTGCCCACCGCTGCCAGGCCGACCTCGCCTAGCCAAGGCGAGGCCGACCTTGCCATCACTGGGCGAGGCTCGACCTTGCCGGATCTAGGCAAGACGAGGCCGACCTGCGACGACGTTGGCCAGCCTCGCTGTGGCTAGGCGAGGCGAAACCCAGCGACGGCGAGGCCGGCCTCGCCATGGCTAGTCAAGGCTCGACCTCGCCGGATCTGGGTGAGGTCGAGCCTTGCCCAACCAAGGCGGGGTTGGTTAGTGCTGTCGCAGGCCGACCTCGCCGTCGCTAGGTTTCACCTAGCTCAACAACGGCGAGGTCGGCCTCGCCTTGGCTAGGCGAGGTCGGCCTAGCAGCGGCGAGCGAGGCTCGCCCTCGCCAGTGGTCGGCGGGGGTGAGCTTTGCTAGAGGCCGGCGAGGTCGACCTCACCAGCCCGCGCCTCTGGCAAGTCGCCGGTCGCTGGACCAGCCAGGGGGAAGAAGAGCAGAAAAAAAAGATTAAAAAATTCGAAAAAATATTTAAAAATTACCACGTCAACGCCAATCGGCCGGCCAAAATTGGCCGAATGGACTCAATTGACAAGAAGTGAAAAGGTTTAGGACTGAATTGGTAAGAAGAGAAGATGTTTATAACTGAATTGGCAAACTTAAAAGGTTTAGGACTGAATTGGTAAAAGTATAATAGGTTTATGACTTTTTAGATAATTTTTCCATTATTTGTGTCATTATCCCTGTGAAAAAAAAAAAAGAGAGAGGTTATAATACGATGGAATCCACTACTTCTATGGGCTTGAAGCCCAAAAACGGGCCCATCTTTTCTGGTCTCTTCCTTTCGCACGAGATGTGAGACCACGTTTTGGGGTCCAGTTTTATAAAAATCCCCTGTTTTTATGTGAGGGATGGTGTGCGTGGTCGGGTCGAATGTGTTTGCATTTTGAAGCTAGAGCAATGGCGGATATACCAAGATTTATTAAGGTGCGGACGGACCGGGTCGTCCCATTATAGGTTCGGGATCAAGCGGGTATTGAGGAAAAGCAAGTTAAGGAAATTTAGGCTTTGTTTGTTTCGCGAAAAATGAATTACTTGGAGAATATTTTCCTAAAAATGATCATCCGTATTGCTTGAAATAATTAGTCGATGAAAAATATTTTCGTTCGTCAAAAAAAATTTATGTCTAAATATTTTCGTGAACGATGATAATATTTTTCGTTCATTCATTTCAATATATTCTACCATGAAACAAAATTGAGTAGAAAGAGTTATAAAAGACGGTATCCATAACGCCATTGGCAACTAGACCCTAATCTTAGTAAATATAAGATTCCTAATAAATCCAGAAGTGAGAAAACTGTGCCCTAATAAAATAGGAAATGATGAATAGATATATAGAACCCGTCCTCCTTCACCTAGCCCTTGCTAGTTAGTGACATGTGTCGGATCAATTGATTCCAAAATCGGTCAATTCTCGGTTCTAGCTGATGATTGGCAAAAAATTCTGAAATTTTAATCTTAGAAAAGCCAACATGTACATATTGAATCGAAAATCGAATTATAAAGTGGAGAAATTTGCAATAAAAATTAATGATTTTTCTTAGTACATTGGATCGGGTTTGATTAAAGCGAAAATTCCAGGATCAATTTCAAGGTTGGGTGTACTCGGGAACCAGCCATTCCAAAGCCGGGACAAGGAAATCAAACCGGACTTGACTTATTCCAAGTTCCAAAAATGGGAAGCAAACCGATTCTTCCCACAACCAACTTGAAACGAAATAAACCCAAGCGATTTCTAACTTGACCTTGGATAGTCGCTTGCTCCTAACGATTAGTCAACAAATTTAATATACAGGGAAGTGGGCCATATTCAATTCCCAACAAGAGTTTATCGCGTCACTTTATATATCGATTTTTTTAACACACCCGGCATAATTTTTAAAAAATAAAGATCCTATTATCGGAGGATCGGAGGATCTAGGATTCCCTTCTTCGTTTTGTTTTTCCACCAGGAAACCCACTTTTAAGAATTCTGAACCAATAAGCCAATGACCCCCATCAAATTTGCTATCTTTTGCTGCGAAGGCATATGCATGTCTTATGTATTTTTTATTTATTTGTTATGTTCTAACTCTTAACTTACTCTTAAACTTTTATCATGTCTCTTAGCGTGAGAATCGAAACCCACATCTAAAACTAAACATCTTCATCCCTAGCCCCCTTGAGAAAGTGAGAAATCAAACTCTCTATTTTCCCTTTCCCAAGTAGGAAAGAGTGACTACTGAGGCAAATCCTAATGCTTGATGCTCTTAGAACTTCGATGTCTAACTTTGGGCTCTTGTTAAACAACGTGATTACAAGACCATTAGTCTATAATTTCTTTTTAGGCGAGTCTGAAGATTGGCCCCGGACGTTCCTAGAACAATAATGTCTTAAGCAAGCATGCGAATGATGGGTACGCTTTGAATATTATAATCATACCCGTATAAACAATAATTAGCATAGGGCACTGCAAATCCATCATTCGTTAGTAAATTAGCCGTGAAGTTACTCCATCGACGAGAAAATAATATTCCAGGGATGATTCTCTTGACCCCACCGGTTAGAGTAGAAGAAGTTGATTAGACCTACTACTTCCACGTAGGCCCACTTGCGGATCTCTTTTTGACCATTGCGATTCGAAGTCGTTTTGCGAGTTCAATTCTAGGTTATCGCGAGTTGAATGCACGAGGGTGTTCCAAAACCAGCTCTTTTCTCCCGCAAAATCTCTCTGGCCGTGAAAATTAACCTGTGTTTGCACTCGCGATTATTCAGGGACAGAGATCAGACCTGACCCTGTGTTTGTACTCGAATTCCATCTTCCATCTTAAGAGCCAAAATCAGCTTCTCAAATCGTTAATTCCAATTTGCTGCTCAGGGACAGAGTAACCCTGTTTCCATGGTTTCACGTTTACTTAAAACTTGATATGATTTCACGGAATAGTAGATCGAATATTGGACATATCCTGATTCACCCAGTTGGAGATTAGGAAAAGAAAAGGAGGATAAGAAGAGCCCGCTATTTTATATATATCCGAAGTAGTATTTACAGAGAGGTCAAAAAACAGGGGAGCCAGAAAACAGAGGAACTCTGCATATCTCCTAGGCAATAACAAAAAAAATTGCCACCAACAAAGAAAAGCTCCGTCGTCGCCGTCATCTACTGTATAATATCATATCTCTGATTAGTCCGAGGTTTCAATCCGGATCAAGGGTCCCCGACGGAGATGGGTCGCCCGGCCGCCAGACCCAGCGGCGACCGTGAGCGCTGCCGCTTGATGATCTCTCTGGCCCTGAGAACAGGCCTCATCTCTGGCTGGACCGTCGACCAGTCCACGGCTGTCGCCTCCGATTCCTGCTTGATCTTCCTCACTTGGCTGTGAACTGGGAAGCCCCCGTCGTAAACCATCTGGTCCTTCTCCTCCGTTTTGCCATCCCTGTTTCCGTTGCATCTGCAGCTGTTGTTATTCCTCTGTTCCATCTTCTCGGTCTCTCTGAAAAGGCTTCGACAAGAAAGAGATTCTCTCTCTCTCTCTCTCTCTCTCTCTCTCTCCCTCTCTCTAGAAGTTCGAAGCTTGTGATGAAAGGAGGTTGCGTACAAAGCTGGAGTCGGGAAGGAGAGAGAGGATCGAGGGGGGATTTATACACGAGGAGACGTGGGGGCCAGAGAGAGAGAGAGATTGGGTGAGGAATACCGCAACTCTTCGGATGAGCTTGAGAGACGACTCTTTTGGACCATATTGACACACGAGAGCCACCTTCCTCTGTGCCCTCGCCCCACCCAAGTTAAACCTGGTCTCTCTCTCTCTCTCTCTCTTCTCTCCTGCACAAGAAAAGTCAAGAGCAAGAAAGTCCACACGATACGATGTTGGAATAGCGTGCACGATATTAGTGTCTCTGGGAGAACATTGAAGAGAGGGACGAGGTGTGAACAGGTATGGATAGGTGCACATTCTGGGGTCAAACTTGGGGAATTCAATGAAGGAGAATAAGTTACGGCCAAAGTAATACCGACGCGCCAAACAGTGATTCGGCCGGGTTGACCAGGACCCGGCTTCTATATTTCGATGATTATCTGACACACCCATTGGAATTATATGGTTTTTCTTAATCTTGGCATCGGAGGACTGGAAAAGAAAACTAAGAAAGGACCAAGGCCAAGTTTGATCCATGATTACTAGATTTGTAGGGGGCAAAGAGAACTTTCTGAAAAATTAATGCAGGGAGGAATTCTGGGTCACAGGATCTTGTTATTGTCAAAGGCCCCCCATCTATGTTCAGACTTTGAATCGTTTTTTGGTTTCCCACTCGATTAATTTAACTTGGTCATTTTCTTTTCTGTGTGTTTCAAATTTACTGAAACGCTCTCCCGCCGGATCCTTCTCACTCACCCATGCCCACCTGCTCAGCCACACCCACCCACCCACCACATCGACTTTACTAGACATAAACCAAATCAAAACAAATACGGATTTGACAGCAAAAAAAACGAAAGAAAAATCTCACAATTTTCAATACTAAATAACTCTTTTCAAGCCTTTTCGACTCTATTTAACACTTGATTCCAAAATCTATCCAAAAAATAAAAGAGTGATGTTAGAAATCGATACATTGACAGCAAGCGTCTACGGTAGCAATTTTCAGTTAAAATTGCCCACATGACGTAATTGGCAAAATTAAAAAGTTCAAAACTGAATTGATAAAAGTATAATGGATTTATAAATTTTTGGAAAATTTTCCCTTGTCCAATAGAGATCACCACTTCAACAAAAAAAAAAAATAGAGATCACCACTATCATTCAATGATCGGTTTTGTAAATTTAGTTTAGTACACTATAGGCTCCATTTGGTTCAACTTTGGGAAGGGGCTTTCGGCCTCGAAAGCCCCTTCCCAAAATGCTGAACCATTTGGTTCAACTTTCGGCCTAGCATTGGCCAAATGCTAGCATTTCGAATGCCGAAAGCCCAAAGCTGGTTCGAATCATTTTTGGGCTTTCAGCATTCCACAAATGCTGAACCCAAATTTTTTATTCCCAAATTACCCTCACTTATTTTGGCTTGTTCTGATTTTGCCCCTCTTGGTACTGTTCATCTTCTTCGTGAGGTGGTCAGCGAGGGAGGCCGGCGAGGGTGGCCGACATCGGATAGGGCCGGCGAGGTCGCACGACCCAGGCGACGGCCGCTTGAGGTCGCGCGACTGCCCAGGCGTCGTCGACCTGGGTCGTGCGGGGCCATCTGTCGCCTGGGTCACGCGACCACAGGCAGCCGTCGCCTAGGTCGCTCGACTCAGCCGGCCGGTGCCTGGGTCGCTCGACCTCAGGCGGCCGTCGCATGGGTTGTGCGACTCAGGCGGCCGCTGCCTGGGTCGCGCGACCCTCACCGAGGGTCACCTGGCCTCGGCGCGACGACCGCCGGTAGCAATCTAGCTCGCCGGTAGCCGTAGGCCTTCACCGGCAGCCGTAGGCCTTCGCCGGCTCCGGCGAAGGGTAGGATAGGTTTTTTTTTTAATAAAAAAGATAATTTCCAAAATCCTTTTGCAAAAAAAATTTTACCAAACACTATTTGGGCCAAAGTAACTTTACAAATAATTTTTTACCAAACGCCATTTGCATTTTCCTAAGAGACTTTAACTTAGGCTCCGTTCGTTTGGCGGAAAATATTCTCCTTTTGGAAAATATTTTCCCGAAAGTCATTTTCCTGGAAAATGTTTTCCCGGAACATAATTTTCCGGTGTTCGGCGAACAATATGAAAAAGTTTCGGAAAATATTTTTCACCGGCGACCGGCGGCGGCGGCGGGTGGCGACCTACGGCCGGCGACCGGCAAACCCACGGCGTCAGGCGGCGGCGGGCCATGGCTGCGGCGGGGCGGCCGGCGACCGGCGGCCAACGGTGGTGACCGGCGATCAACTTCCTCTTCCCACGGAAAATATTTTCCCTCCCATGGGCAATTTTACCTTCAATTTGAGAGAAAATGATTTCCTCTTTGTGAAAAGAGGAAATCATTTTCCTCAAATCAATGAAGATTTGGGGGTGGGGAAGGAAAATATTTTCCGGAAAAATATTTTTCCGTAAACGAACACAGCCTTAAAGATATTTGTATTTCCTCAAATAGCATTTGGAAAATTGAACCAAACGGCCCTAAATATTCTTAAGCATGGATATCGAGTTTCACGTTGCCTTCCGTTCCACGGCGGAGGGGCAATCCTGAAATTTCGTCTGACTTTTAGCGGGCGCGTGGGGCAGAGAGTCGAGAAAGATGGGCCGCCATCGCGGTGACGTGGCACTTCGGGATGGCATGTCGTGGCGAGGGAGGGACGGTTAAGTTAGTTAGTGGGGGGTGGGCAAGCGGTCCCACTTTGTCTTGCGTGAAGCTACGATAAGCACGGCCACGTGGCCGTCCGACCAATCATGGCCCGATCTCGAAACCTCTTCCTTCCTCGCACATGCCAGCCACGTGGCGGGGTTAGTACCATGCTACGTGGCGGAGTGGGTGTGGCTTGGTCGCCAACTACCAATCAGGGAGTCGCCGATGTCGACGGGAAGAAATCGCTGAAGCGATTGGTCCGTCGTTGCTTTTTTTTTTTCGCGATTCGTGGGGAGTGACGAATCGGATGGTTCGTGGGATGCAGATTGGCTTTCGCCGTTTTGGGATTACGTCATGATGGTTCTCCTAGCGGGCCTTCACGATTTACTTTGTTTTTTGGAATTTGATATCGTCGAGGAAAATGCCGAATTCATTTGTAAATTATCGAAAGGAACTAATTCTTATCGAGTGTTTTCTTTCTCTTTCTTTTTTTCTTTCTTTCCGTTTGCCAAAACTCTATCGAGTTCTCACCCTTCATCCCTCCTCACTAAGGTAGATCACAACCGTTGCACGTAGCTAGACCGGTTAAAATGGGTTACGGACCTATTTTTTAACCCATATTTAATAGATTGGGTTATTATATGAGTACGTTATATTCAATTAATAAATTTAAACTCAACTCTATAGGTCATAAATAAGTTTAATATGAGTGTTAAATGAATTCACATCTTACTCAGATCCAACTCGTCTCTACGACTCTCTTTTGCCTTTACTCAATTTCGAACTCGCTCAGTTCGTGCTTTCACCTTAATTTGGGTACGAGTTTTTCTAAATCGAATTAAATATGTAAATATTTTAATAATATGGGTAGGGTCGGCTCGGTATGGGTTGAATATGGGTTATTAGACTTTTATTGCATGAAAATTGATCAAAACGGGTTTAATAGGTCAATTTGGATTGGATCATTCTCGATCCGACCTCATCCGACCCAATCATTTAACGGGTCTACAGGTAGCTAGAGTTGTTTCCATTCGGATGTGCGTGCGATGAGCTGTTTAGCAAAATAGAAGTGTGCTAATTGCCCGTCAAGGTTCGATCAATGGGGAAGACAAACATCTCTGGGATGCGGGGGTTGCTTTTCTTGGATAATAGGAAACTAACTAGTAACCACCATAATGTCCCAAGTTTTAACTTTTTCCATTTTTGACAGCCTTGTTAATAGAATGGAGAAGATGGACTCGGTCTCCTCGAAATGGTTAATTCAGGTACAAAAACTGTGTAACCTGTTTGTTACGCAACCCATAATCATCTTTAACTCCTCATATCAATCGTGAGGAAACTGAATTGTGTAATAAACGACTTACACATGCTGTGAATTGTATTAAAGCCCATAAAAAGAAAAACCTTTTTCATACGGTACCAGCCCACGATTAAGAGGCCCAAATTAATATACGACGTGATACATATAATTACAAACTTTTGGTCGCTCACTTGAAGCAAAGAAGAGATTGGATGTTTTTGTTTGTGAATTAAAGAAACACACTACTATGCAAATTTTGTCTTTTTGTAACGAGGAGAACCATACATAAATCACAAGCGCGCAAGTACCTAACCAAACTTATGATCAGGTAAAATGCGACGCACAAGTACCTAACCAGACTTATGATAAGGTAAAATGCGACGCAAATACACGCACAAAAAGAGCACAATCATAGAAGAAGTACAAGCCAAACTGTCGTTTTTTACTCGGTCAGCCCTTCTCTGTGGATGAAGCACGTGAATTGCCAAACGAAATCTTATTTACGTGGTCGGAGTGAATTCGAACACTTATCCACCACCGAGAGAGCGCGTTGACTTCAAGAACGGCGCATGCCCGGTCTCCTCCTGTATGAAAATATTTGAAAACGAAATGCAAGAAATGAATTAGGAAATCTGCGAAAGGCCGCGGATTCTTCGAAGGAAGACTTGGGGAACGACAAGAAAGGAACATAGGGAAAGGAAGTCAAGCTGAGCGACCAAATCAAAGCACGCAAACTCCTAAGAGACACTGAAAAACCTAAGCGAATTGGTCAGCCCGAGACAACGTCACGAACGACGAAGCTGATCTACAAGTTCCCAGAAGGGTCTCGTGGGGTTCGCACTGTCTAGGGGACGTCACTGTTCTTGATTTTTTTTTGTCTACTTTGCTTATCGATATGTGGGGATCGTAACCAAGGCCATGAATGTATGAGGCCCACGAGCGATTATAGACATTTCAGTTGTCATGTTTAGACCTTATCCTAAGGCAGGCCTCGATCAAAGTTGGGCCTTTAACGACTTGA